CCCAGAGATCCCAAGACCCCTTAACTAAGGAATATAGGGTTTAGGGTTTAGGGTATGGGGCTTAGGGTTTAGTAATACCCCCTTAATTAAGGAATAGACCTTAAACTATAGGGTTCCTCAACGGGATCTATAGGGGTCTCTATAAGGGGTCTTTAAGGGAATTCAGGAATATACCTTAAACTATAGGTGCCTTAATATTATGATTTAAGGTATATTTCTAAAGTAAGGGGTATTGGGATGTATTGGGTTCTCTGGGTGCTTTCTTTCGCTGTTTGCCGAATACGGTTCAGGGTCTAAGGGTTTAGGGGTTTAGGGTCTAAGGGTTCAGAGGCCTTAGGGGTCTAGGGTTTAGGGGTTTGGGGGTTTAAGGGTTTAGGGGTTTAGGGTACCCCAAAGAGCCAACCTTTTTGAAGGACGTATATAAAGAAATCTGAATAAAGTGCCCAAAAACCGTCAGTCGACTAAAGATACAAGCTGTTGTTGACCTTGAACAGCTGAATACACAGAAGGCGGAGAAGGTCCTACTTACCCTAAGAAGACAAACTCGTATTCTGACAGCACTAGATTTGAAGCGTACCTCCTATGGCCCTCAGAATCATCTCTTTGTTTGCTAATCTATACCGTTGGTGTGAACTCATGGGACCCGAAGGGCACCATAAACTGGCTGGATGTGGCCAGGATCGCAAAAAACAACAGTGAGGCTTCAAACGCAAGCTTCTTGAATTCGTCCCGATCTGAAATAGCTAGAAACCCTAAACCCTGAACCCTGAACCTAGTTAGACCCTAAACCCTCGGATGAAGCAGTTTTAACAGTTAGTCAGTTAGTTCCAAAGTGCTTTTTAGGGTCCTTTTACAAGGCTGCCATACTTTCGGGACCTAAAGAGGCACCTAGTTTACGTAGAGAACTGCTCATAATGGATAGGATGCAAGATCATCGGCCGGGAAGATGGGAGCAAACAAACTCATTGCAAATGCACTTTCTTCAGCACTCCTAGCAGCCTTAGTTAGAACAGGGTTTAGTGATTTAGGGTTTAGCACAGGGTTCGGGTTTAATAAAATAAATAAATATATATATATATATAAATATATAAATATAAATAAATAAATATATATATATATATATTGAGGGCCATTTCCCGCGCTTCTGCTTAGAGGCCCGTTAGGGCGGGCTATGGTCGGCCTACCAGCTTTAGGGTTTATAGGGTTTCAGAGGTTCAGAGTGCGTTACGCTTTAGGATTCATTGGGGTTTAGGGTTTAGGGCTTGGGGCTCATTCGGGTTTAGGGTGTAGGGTTGAAAACTTTACGCTTAAGGATTCATTTGGGTTTAGGGTTTAGGGTTCATTCGGGTTTAGGGTTTAGAATTCATTCGGGTTTGGGGCTTGATGAAGGGGCTTAGGGGGCATTTCGGACCTTGGGTTTCGGCGCGACGCCGAGCTTCCCAACCCATTCCGGCTCCTGACAACCGCGGGTTCCGAGGAGAAGGACAGCCAGCAAGGAAGAGCGCTTGGGTTGAGGGTTTAGAGTTCAGAGTTCAGGGTTCTATTTCTTTTTGGGTTTAGGGTTTGGGGTTCCTTTCCTATTTTGCGGTTCAGAGTGTAGGGTTTAGGGTTCTTTTCGTTTTGGGGTTCTTGGTTTAGGGTTCAGGGTTCCTTTGCTTGTTGGGTTTAGGGTTTAGGGTTCAGGGTTCCTTTCCTTTTTGGCTTAGGGTTCAGGGTTCAGGGTTCCTTTTCTTTTTGGGTTTAGGGTGTAGGGTTCAGGGCTTGAGGTTTTGTTGGATGGTCAGGACATAGATCAAGCTTGACACTCGTGCGAAGACTCCAGCAGCCAGATTCAAGTCCATAGTCCGCAACAGCACTCTGAGTCTCCGGCTTAGCACTCAGGAATCTTCAGGAAGGCTCAAGGGCAAGGTCTTGGCCCCAAGGCGTTCAGATTTCATCTCCAAGAAAGGTGGACCATGCACTTAGGATGATCTGATGCTGGAATTCCCTCTGCATCACCTTGAGAGCATGGGGATAATGATGTTCCAACTTTCTGGCTTCCACTGTAAAAGCAGAAGCCCCAAACTCCAAAATCCTGAAAACCTCCAAGCCCTAAATGTTGGAACCCTAAACCCAATCACTCTAAAACCCCTAAGGCCCTTGAAACCATCAAGCCCTCAAGCCGTAAACCCTAACACTCTAAACCCCTGAAGCCCCTATTTAGTTTACTGAGACCCTCGAACCCTAAGACCCCCAAAGCTCGATAGACCCTAAGCTCAAAACCCTCAGGTTTAGGAAGTAAGGAAGCCCAGCATGACTAGGCTCCCCAGTAGCACCTTCATAATAAGGGAACCCTTTTTCCTATGATTTGGTTTGAGTGGGGGAGCCCGACGGGAACCAAGGGCACCTAAACCCTAAACCCTAAACCCTAACCTCAACAACCCTAAACCCTAAACCCTAGAATCCAGATGAGGATCCTTTCCCTCGTAGCTCTTCTCCAGATCCCCGGTGTAGACGTAGCAGAGTCTCGGCATTGTTTTTTTAGGGCCTCCGTGTTTAGGGCTTGGGCTTGGGGGTTGAGGGTTTAGGGGTTTAGGGGTTTCTGTTAAGGCTTAGGACTTTTGCTTCAGGATTTGGGTTTAGGGATTTTAGGGTTTAGGCTTTCGGCTTAAGCATTGGGCTGGGGGGCTGGGGTCTGGGCGAAAGGGGCTCAGGGAAGCTGCGACATGGGCTTTACGGCCTTTGGGGCCCTGTTGTTTAAGTGGGGGTGATCATGTCATGTCAAGACACTTTAATCTAACTTGAGCTAGGCGTCTCATCGCCGTCAGAGAAGCCAGCATCAGCAATGGATGTTTCATCATCCAGCAGCCCATCGCAAGACTTGATATGAAATCCGGCGCCCGTTACACCAGCACGAGCTCTGGCATCAGTCGGCTTTCCCACGATGATCCTACGGGGGTCCGACAATCCGAAGATCAGGGCGATCCATTCCTTTGCATCTCGGACACTCGCAGTAGGGCTGACGACAATCTCCCGCATTTCTCGCTCCTCTTCTAGAGGTTAAGACAGTCAATCATCGTATACGAGGGTCTATGCTAGTATATCATAGTAACTTTGGACATACCCTAAACCCTAAACCATGATAGTCTTTAGATATACTTAGCATTCTTATTCCTTCCTCTTCCCGGGCACAGCCGATCTCCACCGGCTTTGCGACTCGCAGAAGCAGGGGCTGAGTCTCTCCAGGCTTTACGCGCCTGGGCTGTCAGGATTTAGGGTTTACAGGGTTTAGCGTTTAGGGTTTAGCGTTTAGGACATTAAGACTCTGCTTTAAGCTTCACTTGGTGAGTTCTCTGAATTAGGGTCCCTTTTTAAGTCACCCCTTCTAAAAAGGACCCTACAAGGGCCCCTGTTTAGAGAACTACCCACATAAGAGAGAAACATGACGCTAAACCCGTACACCTGATCATCCCTGAGCAACTAAAAAATATTATTAAAAATGGTTTACAACTAAACCCTAAACCCTAAACCGTCAAAGTAATGTGATCTAGATGCTGGAGTAAAGGCCCAGGGATGCCGAAGCCCGGGCCTTGGACCAAGAGCCATCCCGGCCTTTCCACGAAGCTGTCGAGCTCCACCCACTCCCCTCCTTTTGGCCCCGTCCAGGTACGACCAGTCGTGAACATCACGGAACCCACAGGTCTTGTCAGCTTCACTGTTTTCGGACCTGTGGGACTGGATCCCGGCCGCTTCACTAAGCTGCGCTGCAGCACGCGATACTCCACCACCTCGCTGGGCAGCGCGATCTGGGCCTGTTTCAAGGGGCAAAGCGCCTTGGCTGCTTCTGGATATCCCATCTGCAAAGGGCTTTCAGTCGCCATTGCCAGGGCCAAGATCCGAAACAAAAAGAACAAAAGGGAACCAAATATGTCTGACACCTGTTCACGCTGCCGACTTGGTGAAGCCACACGGCTCTGTCCACGCACCCTAGTTTCCCGTAGTCTCGGGCAATTAATGTGATATGTACATATATATATATATTTATTTATTTATTTCTATTTTTTATTTGTATTTATTTATTGATCTATTTATTTACTTGTATATATATATACATATGTATGTATTTACTTATTTATTTATCTAGTTATCTATTTATTTTATATTTATATTTTATAACGCATTATACCTTATATCCTATATCCTATACAGGACAAGCTGGTCGAACATTATACATACATACATACATACATACATACATACATACATACATACATACATACATACATACATACATACATACATACATACACACACACACACATACATACACACACACATACATACATACATACATACATACATACATACATACATACATACATACATACATACACACATACATACATACATACATACATACATACATACATACAGATTGTTCTACTGTATTGCCTGGCCAGACAGAGGTCCCTGATGCTTGGTCGAGGTAAACCCTAAACCCTCCTATTGTGGACACCCCAAGCCTTCTCCGAACCCCATTTCATCGTGCTTGGAACGGCCCCACACCCCCGGTCAATCATCAGAAGAAGGGCTCGGGGGTTACTGTATACCACAGTATAGTAAAGTATGGTAGAGCACACTATAGTGTAAAAGTAGTGTAGTATGGTACAATACCGTATCTAGTGGTGAAATCAAGACTATAGGCGTATATTCCTACAGAAACCACCATGGCAGCGTCCGTTCGGATTGGTGCCCTAGGCTGGGTTCTTGTTAAAGAATTTAACTTAAGATACCATCATAGGGATCTATAGGTAGTATTAGGCTTTCTTTACTATGGTAACTTAAGTTAAATCCCTGACCCTTACCCTCAAAGGACTCATATTTTAAGGCTTTTGAGCCCAACGATCCTATTATATAAGGCTTTTGGGCTATTTGGATGCTAAGGGTTAGGGTTTAGCACCTAAACCCTAAACCCCAAAGCCCTAAAACCCTAAAACCCCTAAACCCTGTAAGACCCAAGTAAGAGCCCCGGCGGCAGCCACGAAGGCCGCCCAGAAAGCTTGACCTGGCCAGGCCTTCGCCACCTCCGGAAGCGGTGCTCTGAGGGGGTTTTGAAGCGGTTTTTTGTTTGGGGCTTCTAGGGCTTCGGCTTGGGATTTTTTTGTTTGGGGTTTCTAGGGCTTAGGCTTGGGATTTTTTTGCTTGGGGGCTTCTAGGGATTAGGCTTGGGATTTTTTTTGTTTGGGGTTTCTAGGGCTTAGGCTTGGGATTTTTCGTTTGGAGTTTTAGGGCTTCGGCTTCGGGGGGTTTTGTTTGGGGTTTTAGGGCTTAGGGTTTCAGGGGTTGACGGGCTTAAGGGTTTTCTTCGGGGTTTAGGGCTTAACGTTGAGGGGTTTAAGGGTTTAGTTTGGGGTTAAGGGTTTAAGGTTGAGGGGCTTAGGGGTTTTGTTTGGGGTTTAGGGCTTGGGGTTGAAAGGTTTAAGGGCTTAGTTTGGGGTTTAGGGCTTAGGGTTCAGGGGTTTAGGGATTTTGTTTGGGGTGTAGCGCTTGGGGCTCAGGGGTTTAGGTGTTTAGTTTGGTGGAGCTCAGGGGATTAGCTGCTTAAGGTTTGAGGGCCTCGGGTTGAGGGTTTAGGGGTTGGTTGGCTTGGGGCTGAGGGGTGACAGCTCCGAAGACTCAGTCAGGTTCGGGATTCCTCGCATCTATGAACCTATGCAGCACATAAAAGCGCGCAGACATCATGCTTCTGCTGAGATCCCCTATAAACCCAAAGCCCAAAGCCCTAAGCCCCAAACCCTGAACCCTAGACCGTAAGCCCTAAACCCTAAACCCTAAGTCCTAAGCCCTAACCCACTGCGAGGCGCAGACTGCCTCCCAAGCTCTAAAGCCTAGATGCTATAAAACTTGAATGGGATGTTAAAGCCCTACCTGGACCCCAAACACCTACTACCTTTTTAAGGACTTATATGAAGAAATCATGAAAAGGAACCCCAAAAAGGAAGGCTTTATAGGGTTAAGGTAGCCTCTTTCTAAACACTCCTACAAGAGAGGGACCCCCGCCCCTCGGCACCTCCTCAAAGAGCGCCCGCAGCACGGATGTGTCCAGCACACTATGGTGGCAAACTGCGGTCTCAGCTCCCGGCCTGGCGTAGGGTTTAGGGTTTAGGGTTTAGGTGTAGGGTTTAGGGCTAAGGGTTTGTTGGATGCTTATAGGGTTCAGAGTTCAGGGTTACCGGGTTTGGGGATTAGGCTTAAACCCTAAGCCCTGAACCCAAAACCCTGTAAACCCTAAACCCTGAACCCGGCGTTTAGTGCTTTAGAGATTTCGGTTTGCTTCTCACGGCTTCTTCGGAGGACTTCGAAACTGCCGAGGTCCGCAAGTTCCCAAAGCCCACATGCTCGAAAGCTCCCAAACAACATCGGAGGGTTTAAGGATTTTACCGCTTATACGGTTTAGGGTTTAGGGATTGCGGTTTAGGGTTTATAGGGATTAGGGTCCCATTACGGTTCACGGTTTAGGGTTTACGGTTTTAGCCCCCCGTCCACGAGATACGTTGACATTGCATGATCGACAGCGGTAAACTGCAAGTATCCCCATACAAGTTCTTTCGAGTGGGAATCTTGGGGAAGGGACCGGAATGCAAGCACTTCATCACAAACCCCTGCAGTCAGCGAACCCCCGGCAAAAGTGGACTGAGTAGACCGTTACTATTGGGCACCTTGGCTTCTGGAGACCAGGCAGCAAGGCGGGCGGAAACGCATCGTAGCCTGAGTAGGTTTAGGAGATAGGGTGCAGGATCTAGGGCAATCAAAAAATATGTGTATGTATATACAGACCGGTATTTATTTATTCATTCATGTATGTCTTCTGTTTTCACCCAAAACCGGCTGCATCCGCACAAATCTAAGGACGGACACATGCTGAAAGCATTCAGGCCGGAACGGTGGAGGTCGACGGCGCTTCGAATCGGGGGACACGCGTCTGAGTCAAAGGTGCAGAGCAGGGACTCGGCCTTAGGCGTTTAGTAGGTTTAGGGTTTAGGGTTTAGATCTAGAGCTGCTACCCTAAACTCCAGAAAGTTGGAACATGGGTTTAGGATGATTTGTTCTAGGATCCCTTGTACTTTACTTCAAGGGCATGAGGACCATAATGTTCTAACTCTATGGCTTCTGCTGTACAAGGCTTGGATAGGTGTCTGCAGCGCTTGGTACAAAGGGCTTGGTGATACGATCGCATGCTTATAGGAGGACTATAAGGAACCCTAAACCGTAAACCCTCAACCCATGACCTTATCCACTTGTCAGGCCTCTGTCTTCTGGCGTTGGCAGCTTCGAACTTCTCAGGCTTCTAGGCTTAAAGGAGCCCTGGGGGGCTCCAGGGTTTCACCCAAACCCTAAATCCCCCTAAGCCCTCGAGTCTATGCCGACACGCAAAGTCGGTCTTGTTCAGTACAGGCAATATTCACAAACCCCAAACCCTACAAAACCCTACAAAGCCCTA